GACGGACGGACGGACGGACGGATGGATGGATGGATGGATGGATGGATGGATGGATGGATGGATGAATGGATGGATGAATGGATAGATGGATGGATGTATGGATGGATGGATAGGATAGGACAGAGACAGACAGATGGATGGATGGATGGATAGGATAGATGGATGGATGGATGGATAGGACAGACAGACAGACGGATGGATGGATGATAAAACCCTGGAGGAACATCAGGACTGGTATTTTCCCTCCCTGGTCTACTTCTTGTCTGTCCCTCACTACAGACCAGGACCAGGACTTACAGACCAGGCTTTGTATCATGTCAGACTCATACATGTGGACTCAGCCTCTAATCCTGAGTAAAGCCTCAGCAGCTAAAGTTTCCGTATCGACTGGGTGGCTCAGCACCGTTTCTCTAATAACACAGGGATGAGCTGAAGACACCTCAGAGGACAGGCCAGGTTGACTCAGCCTCAGTCCGTCCAGCATGTGTCCACAAAAAGACTCCAGAAGAAAACAAAACACTTTCCTGCTCAGTTTCTTCAAAACATAATAAATGTAAAAACAGATATTCTCACCAATATGGTAGAGTCCYATCCAGTCCGTGGCATCCACCTCCTCCTTTATGTCCCAGGATATGACCAAGGTCTGGCCCCGGTTCAMCGTGAACTCCAGAGTGGACGCTGTGAGCGAAGACCGGCTCTGGGAGGTCACCAGGTCCGTGTCYCTGTTGGCCCGCGTCAGTCCGATAGGACCGCTGACAACGGACGCGGTGTCCACGGGCGTGCCGCTCCTCTCCGTCAGAGTGCGCAGGTTCTCCGGGCTGAGGGTGTGCCGCAAGTTAGGACTGCGTCTCCGTGGAGCTGACAGGTGTTCCCGGCCTCCCACAGCCAGGTTGGGTGGATTGTGGGAGCGGGTCCTGGGTGGGAGCACCGCCGTGGCGAGGGAAGGACGCATGTTGTTGAGTCAGGTGTTCGAAGACAAAAACCAGAAGATGAGCTTCAAAAAATGGACCGGATCTTAAAACAGAAACCCATTTTCCTGATTTAGTTTTGATTTGATCTGAAGAACAAACTCAAGTCCTGACAGGAGTCCCTGGTTGGGTTCCATTGGGTTAATGATGTCCACGGGAAGTCCTAGTTTTATTTTCCACACACCATCAGAACCTGGAGATCTGGAACAGCAGGAGGACACACAACAGTTAGTGTTGAAAATGGTGCCAAAGTTCTGATTTCATAAATGTATCTTCTCACTAACCAATCATCAATGATGGTCCACTCTACTTTGAGCTTCTCTTAGTCAATATATTGTTTTCAAGAACTAAATAAGACGATGTAATCATCAATTAATGACATCCAGTCCATTTTGTGCTGCTCTACATATAATTTATAGCAATATTTATATGTTTTAAATGATTTACCAGTAAGTTTGTTCTTTATGGTGGCATAAACAATCATAACAAGCTGCAAAGATCCAACTAAATATAAATTATATGAAGAATCGTTACATCATTGTGAGACAGACAGATAAGGAACCATCAGGCTGCCTCGTTAAAAACAGAAAGAAGAGACAGGAAGTTCTTCGATCTGCAGACGTTTGGCTGCCGGAGCCTTTTTATAAAAGGATGGATGTGACCTGAGTGTCCAGCCGAGGTGAGCCGGCTTCAGTCTCACAAGCAAACSTTAAACTTGCACGTGTCTGCTGCAGTCAATGGAAAATTATTTTAGCTGTCATTTCACTCAAGTCCTGATAGTTTTTTGTTTTAACTTTGTTTTTTTCTGCATCTCTCTTTGTGTTTTTATTATTGCATCATGAGCTCACCTCCACTTCACAGGTGTGCCATGAAATGAGAGCTGAGGGTTCAGACTGCGCTCACTGGAAACATGGATGAAACAAGAAATATGAAACATAACATTATAAGAAATAAGCAGTGGTGGGCACAGTTCCCCTAAAGCACTAATTAGGGYAACTATCCTGATTAGTGCTTTAGGGCTTTTGCTATTTTATAAATTCATTAGTGGATTATTACTTGCTAATTTTATGGGCTAAATTTAGAAGCACTAACTGAGGTCTATAAATGTTATTGATCGACATTAATGTTAACAGTTGAAGATGAAAGCTGTCAATCATTTTGTTCATGTGTCAATCATCCATTAGGTGACATTGATCACTGATAATATTCTGCACACAGTAAATTTTGTCTCATGTTGATTCTGAACAATGTTTCATGGGTCAAATGTGTTATTTTAGTGCTTTAGAATTAGCTTTTGCTAAAATTTTCAGTGCATTAGTGCTTTAGAATTAGGGGACACAAATATTTGAATTAGTGCTTTAGAATTAGGGGACATAAATATCTGAATTAGTGCTTTAGAATTAGGGGACACAAATATTTGAATTAGTGCTTTAGAATTA